TACTCGTAGATGACAACATGACAGCACATCAAGGTAAATAGACATTAAATTAAATCATTAACCTTAATAAATGCAACATGTATGAGTGCATGACCATTAAATAAATATTTGATTATTCTGTACTCAAACTCTCCAAATACACCAACTAGCTTAACATGGAGAATATTGTAGAATATGATTAAATCCACTTGTTCAAACCATATGTTATTTTCGAATATCTCAAATTTATATAAGCATGTGTCTCAAACTCTCCAAATACACCAACTAGTTTAGCTATTGCTAGGGCCGGTCCTAACATTTTATTGCCCCTAGGCGAAATATTAAATGTGCAGTGGGCCGTTTGTAAAAAATAAATAAATAAATAAATAAAATTATATTTTAATAAAAAAATTCATTAATAATGATCCAAAAATTTATTTTTTTTACTCCATTTATTTTTTTATAGTCAATCAAATTATTAAGGGTAATGCTATATAAGAGCTACGTATAAACATTAAATATATACGCTTGAAAATTGTATAAAATTAGGAATTCATGACAAAAACACGCGCAAATCAGTGTAATTAGTGTTTATATTATTATGATTTCCTAAATTTATACGATTTTCTAGTGTAAATTTAATGCTTATATGATTTATATGATTTCCTAAGTTTGTTTATAAAAATTTCATCCAAATATATATATTTTTCGTTCACTTCCAAAAATTAATCAACAATATTATTTGATAGAAGTTAATCCTTGTAACATCAATGTGATTGAAATTTAAAAATTATATACCTAATCAAATAAATTTCCTCTTTAAAAACTTGATTCAAATACCAAAATTTACGAAGAATCAAGTGGTTAGTACTGATAGAAAAAGTGTTTGAGCCTATATAGCGAAAAGATAAATGCAATAAGTGACCCTTTTGTCATCATTCACCTATACAATTCCACATAAAACATACAAAGTATTAGACATTAATTAATTATTTAAAAAAAGTATCTAATTCATGAATCAATAATTCAAGTTTCAAACAAGGTTTCTTCATAAATCCATAATCCAAATCATGTCATCAAAGCATTGTTAAAAAAAATTACGAAGTAATATCTAAGAAAAATAAGGAGTAGGTGATAAAGATTACTTACTTAAATACTCTCGATTTACTTAGCTTCAATTAGTAATAATAAACTTTCAAGATATATAGTTTTTTCCATAAAATGATAAATTGATAACTCATTAGAAACGTAAGCAAGTAATTAAGCAAATGTGGAAGTTAATTTATTAAATAATGATACATTATTTTTGGTGGAAATGAAATTGGAATTTAACTCTTATAATCAAAGCAATTGTAAACCTCCAATCAAACGTAAAAGCAAAGGAATTAATGAAGAAATAAATTCAAGCTAACTAGTAATAACTTACCCAAGTATGTAATTGATGAAGAACTTGTACACCAAGAAACTATATTATGTCTTCACTTTATTATGTATTACACTTTAAGTGAAGTCCTTTCATTAATTAATTAAAACTCCTACATTTTTAAAGGCATGCATATATCACATAACCTATATAAAGCACAACATGTACCACAAAAAATGAAACAATAATCCATTACACCCCCAAAAAAACACATATTTTTTTCTTGTAATTATTATTTATAGTCATTTTAATATAATTTAGTCGTGAGAATGGAGAATGGAAAGAAGAGAATGGCTTTGCTAGTAGGATGCAATTATCCAAACACACAATATTCATTGCATGGTTGCATCAACGACGTTGTTTCGATGCAAGAGCTCCTCATGGAACGATTGGGGTTCGATAAAAACTCGATCGAGCTCCTAGTAGACGAAGGTCCAGAGTCTAAAGCATTGCCTAGTGGTGTAAACATTAAGAATGCACTAAAGAAGATGATTGATGGAGCCGAAGCAGGGGATGTCCTGTTTTTCCATTATAGTGGACATGGTACACTTGTCCCTTCTAAGCATCATCTCAATAAAAAGGAGGAAGCAATTGTTCCTTGTGATTTCAACCTCATTACTGGTAATTAATAGAATTATTATGTTTAATTAAATAGTTTAAAAGACTAATTACTCCTAAAATTTAATCTACTATAACTCATGATTTTTTTTCTTCATTTTTTTATGTTTGTTACGTTGTGCAATCCTAGAGTTGAATGTTAGTAAGTTGGGTAGGGAGGTAGGAAAAAAAAAATTAAAAAGCACAATAATTGCATATTTTATGTTCCCTTTTATTTGTTTGTATTTTGGTGAGTTATTTAGTGGACTATTTCGCAATCAGTAAGCAATAGGATTTCACACAAATATCTTGATAAGTGACATAATTAGACATATATATTCTCCCTAAGTTGTATTAATCCCTCAGATTGATTTAAGTACATCGCTTTGATTGTCAAGGAGTTTTAGGAGAGTGAGTTGAATGAATTAAAATGTGTGCAAGTGGAGTTTACTGGGATCATAGTTTATTACTCGATAAAAAGTATGTGATGTGAGAGGAGAGAAAAAAAAAATTAGAAGTGGAGATCATGAGGAGTGAGAAACAATAAAAAATATTCCTTCTATTCCTTATTGTTTGCACCATTTAACCTAAAAAACTCTCATATAAAGTGGGTCCATAGTGCAAACAAAAAGGGATTGAGGGAGTATGTAGTATAAGAAGATGTTTTTAAAAAAAAGGAAACGGTGCACTTAAAAAATGGCCCGAAAAAAATATTACTTTAAAACACGAAGGGAATATTCTTCATACTACTTTTTTTTATGTAACAAATACTTTGAATTATTTTCTGTAAACTTTAGCTATGTTATGACGTGTATTCCATTGAAAAGCATTCTATTGTTGGTTATGTTGTAGATGTGGACTTTAGACAACTAGTGAATGGGATACCAAAAGGAGCAAGTTTCATAATCCTCTCGGATTCATGCCATAGTGGAGGCCTCATTGATAAGGAGAAAGAGCAAATTGGGCCCAATACCTTATCTCCTACATCACAACTAAGCAATAACTTGGGCCCAAAACACTCCAAGCTCAAAAATATCCCAATTGAATCAATTTTGAACCACTTAGCCTCTCTTACAAACATGGTTGAGTCTGAAATTGGGGCACACCTAACCGCCCTCTTCGGCGATGACGCGAGCCTAAGGTTCCGCCTTCCGGAACTAGACCAAGATAAGTTGTTTGGACCTCATAGGCCGGACTCCGGTATTTTGTTGAGTGGGTGCCAGACCAATGAGACCTCAGCGGACATGCCTCCTATGGGGTCCAATGGAAAGGCCCATGGGGCCTTTACATACGCTGTCCAATCCGTGTTCAAAGCCCAACAAGGCCCACTTAGTAATAGAGAGGTGGTGATGTTGTCTAGGGAGGTGCTTGAACAAGAAGGGCTTGAAGGGCAGCATCCTTGCTTGTATTGTAGTGATGAGAATGCTGATGCACCCTTCTTGATGTGGGATGATGCAGAAAGCAACAATTGACCAATATTTATCATTTGATTTGTATTGATACTATAGCTTGACTCTTGACAATCAATAAATCTCGTAATCAATTGTATTTCCTTTGATGTATATATCTCGAGGGACACTGAAAAATAAATATGTTTTATTACCTACTATTCTACTAATAACTTGTTTGATAGTTAGTAATAAATAATCGTTACGGTAATATATTTGTATATAAATTGTTTTTGCAATTGTATGGTGTATGCATTGCATCATACGGAGTAATAGGTTATACTTTTACGTACGAAATAAGTTATTAAAAGTATGTGAGCAATAAATAAGGGAATCAAGTATTATGCAAATCTACTAGCTTGGCACCCCAAAATCTGGCTAACCTCTTGACCAAACAAGTATGTAGTAAGTATCTAAATTCTAAAATTTAATTTGGTATAGTTGCACATCACTTCTTGCAAAATAAGAATTTTGCACGTTTTCCCCAAGTATCACTAACATGAGTCATAAGTCACAAAAGCTTCTACAAAAAGGGAGCAACTAAAATTATTTTATACCTAATTAACACAAAAACACTCACATTTGCAAACACAAACCATATATCTAAATTGAATACCTAATTATGGTGGACGAGACGATGAAGAAAGTTTTTAGTAGTATATCTACAATGGTTCTCATAGTTGCCATTGAAGGGGTTGATGGTGCCAATTCAATCAATAACAATATTCATAGCAATGATATCCCTTGCCAATGGTTGGGTACTTGGGTAGTAGATGTGGCCCCGAAAGTCCGGCTCTATTAATTACATGTTGTCCTCCGTATAGGTGCTTTAACCCTAAAATCGCACTTGGAAAATGCATACAGTGATCATATCTAATCATGGATGGAGGCCAAGGGTGTGTATTAATCCTTCCACAATATCATCCAATATATATATACTAATTAAATAGGAGTTTCATGTTTCATGTTTGTTTTAGCAAATAAAAGTTGTGTACCCTATAATACTTAAGTTATTTATATTACTTCGTGTAATATTGATATTAGAATGTTGGATAATATACGATTATACGAGCCAATTGATATTGTTTCTTCTGTATCCCATATGTTCTTAAAGTTGTGTACCCTTTCCCTTTACAATCACTTTAGTTTTTTCAGATTTATTTTATATTCTTCACTTAAACCCACTTTCATAATAACGTAATACATCTTACTTTTTACTATTTTTCTTAAAATTCCATGCCTAAAAATATGAAGCAAGTAATAAAAAATACAAAGAGATTAAAAACGTAATAAATACATAATGAAAACGGAAAAGTTAGTCGGGACAAAAGAGAAAAGAGTAAATTGAGACGAAAGAGTAATAAAAATAGAGCAAGTAATAAAATCCGTGAAGTCTAGAAGTATATAGTAATAGTACAACTATACAAGTACAAAATATGGAGCAAATAACAAAACGGATCAAGTCCGTTTTTCCGATGAACTAAACCAACTACGCTTATGTTTTGCCTCTCCCATTTTCCCTCTCTCCCCGTTAGGCTCCATTGAAGTTTATTCTAAATTCTCCATTAAAGTGGCTTGTGAGCCAGGGGCGGATCCAACGTGGGTTAATGAACCCACTGATTTTTTTTAAAAAAATAGAATTTTTTTTTTAATTTTAAAAAAAAAACAAAAAGAGAAAAAGTGTTAAATAGAATATTTGTATGATATATTTCAAGAATTAAAGCTGCAGCCCAGCGGTTTTTTTTACCTCAGCCCAGACGCCACTGCCCCGCTGCCCGCACGCAGACCGGCGACCGCCTCACCGTTCCCGGCGCTACGCAAGCCAGAACCCACATCGGAGTCCAGGCCCTCCACCGTGTCACCGTGAGCTGTTGCGGATTTGCGCCTTTGCGGCCTTGCGTTGCCCACTTTGCCGGTTTCCTTGAAGGCTTTAATTGTATGTCGTCTTCTAACTAGTTCTATCTGGCATTCTGAGTTAATAATATATAAAGTTTTTGGTTTCATGATTTTTGTAGATAATTACGTGAATACGTGGTGTTTGAATGTGTGAATGTGTGATGAACTTTAGCTATCAATTTTGGGTTTTTGGGTGACTATTGTCTATTGAAAAAATGGTTGAAATTGGGGTCTTGGGGAAGGAAGTATCTGATTTACATTTACTGATTTAGGGTTTGTAGATTGTAGAAGTAGTTCAGTTGTTGAATTGTTGTCTGTTGATTTGAATTAGTGTAATTTGTACAGCCTGTACTTGAATTGTTGTTTGTTGAATACTTGAATTGTTGTCTGTTGAAGTGTTGAATGTTGATTGTCGGTTGAAGTGTTGATTGTCTATTGTTTTAGAATGTTTATCAATGATTCAATGGAGGTTGTTTTAGAATGTACTACATTGTTCTCATGTTCTGTAATTAGTGTAATCTGTACATTGTTCTTGACTTCTTGTCATGGGTTATCGTCGATTTATTGCAGAAGTCGATTAGAAGGGGATAATCAGTGCTCGGTGCTCCACTGCTCCGTCATCCACTCATCCATATTTCGTGGCTCTGTAGGTGAATAACTGAATTTTTACTTCTTAATTTCATATATTTTACATACTATTTGTTTTGATCTTGAATGAATGAATTCTTGATAATAAATTATGATGTATTGATTTTTATCATCTAAAAAAAATCTGAAAAAAATATTGTATGCAATTGCAAAGATATTCTTCTTCTTAGTTTGCTGTATTGCTGTATGCCTGTATTGCCGTATGCAAAGATATTCTTCTTCTTGAATCTTGATAAATTATGATGTATTGATTTTTATTATCTAAAAAAAAATCTGAAAAAATAATTTTATAGTGATTGTGTGAACTTCTGTATTGCAGTATTGCCGTATTGGTGAGTGGTTTGCTTATTGATATTTTTTGGTTTATTTCTTTCTCGTATCCATTTTCCAGTTTCCAGTTAGCCTATTGTTGCTGTATTGTTGCATGTTGCTGTTAATTGGCGAGTGGTTTGCCGTATTGTTGCTGTTAGCCACTTAGCCTATCATTGAACTGGTGAAATTTGTTGAGTTACTTTTGGTCTTTACATAATTGTATGCAAATATGCAATGCGTATAATTGTATGCAAATATGCAATTCGTACATAATTGTATGCAAATATGCAATTCATTCCATTGTAAATTATGATTCTGAACTTTCGAAATTTCGAACCCCTATTTGGAAATCCTGGAGACACCACTGTTGTGAGCTTTCTCTCCTCCATTGAAACAGCTTCTAAGGCAAGTTATTCTTGTTATCATCAAATTTCAAATTTAAAATCTAGGTTTAATCGTTAATTTTGTTGCCATTATAGTCAATTTAGGGTTCTTTTAAAGTGAATTATTGAACTATTGCTTATAGTCACTGAATAATTATAATGAGAAATATCGTTGCTAGATCATAGTCAATTTAGGGTTCTTCTTAGGTAGATTGTTGAACAATTGGTTATAATTTAATTACTGAAAGATTATAATGATAAATTTCGTTGCTTGAATTTTGCTATTCATGTTTTTAAGTGAGATGAATTTGACTTGATAGTTGAGTCAAATTTCCTTGCTAATGTGTTACAAAACCCTTTAATGTTAGGGTGGAACTATGAAATTGGAAATTTTCTCCCTGGGCCGCCCCTCGGCTCAGGGACGATTGGGAACAACTAGGGAAATGAAATATACTTCCTCCATTCGTTTTTAGTTGCAACATTTTCTATAGAAATTATGTATAGTTTGTTCTTGTAACTTTGGCAGAAAATCTGAGCTTAAACATATTCCTTGCAGAATACTCTGTAATAGATAATTTGTCAGTGGGTAATGTCTGTGAGGTGGCCAAGGTTACTGAATCCAACTCAGCTCGCACAGATTATACGACAGCAGAAGAATCCGTTTACTGCTTTAAAGATCTTTAATGAAGCCAAAGCCAAGTATCCCAATTATCGTCACAATGGTGTTGTCTATGCCACCATGATTAATATACTCGGGAGCTCAGGTCGTTTCGATGAAATGAAACAAGTAATTGAACAGATGAAAGATGACTCGTGTGAGTGCAAGGATGCAGTTTTTGCAGGTATAGTTAAGACGTATGCAAAAGCTGGATTGCTTGATGATGCCGTTTCTTTATTCAGAAGCCTTCCTCAATTTAATTGTGTGGCTTGGACATCATCTTTCAATACACTTTTAGAGATTATGGTAAAGGAGTCTAGACTTGAGGCTTTCTATCGTCTTTTTAAGGAAAATTCTCGTGGTTGGGAAGTTAAGTCTAGGATTGGATCGTTGAATTTGCTAATGGATGCTCTATGTCAGATCAAACGCTCAGATTTAGCACTGGAGGTTTTTCAAGAGATGAACTATCATTGTTGTTATCCCAACAGAGAAAGTTATAGGATTTTAATGAAAGGCCTCTGTCAAGATGGCAGGCTATACGAGGCCACTCATTTGTTGTACTCTATGCTTTGGAGGATTTCTCAGAAAGGTTGCGGAGATGATATAGTAGTATATAGAATTTTGTTAGATAGCCTATGCGAGAATAAACAGATTAGCGAGGCTTTAGAAATTCTTGGGAAAATTTTAAGAAAAGGCCTCAGAGCTCCCAAGATTCGCACCAAACTCAAAGATCTTAGCCATCTTCGGGATACTGAAGACATAGAGCAGGCTAAGCTTTTGATCAATGAAGCTTTGATTGGAGGTGCCGTCCCTAGCTCAGCTAGTTACACTGCTGTGCTTACCGATCTCTACAATGAAGGTAAAATTTCCGAGGCTAACAAAGTGCTTGATAAAATGCGTGAAAAGGGTTACCGACCATCACTGAGGATATATGAATCAAAGGTAGCAGCGTTGTGTATGGCTGGTAGAGTCGATGAAGCTGGTCAGACGATAGAAGAGGAAATGCTGAAGAAGGATTGTGTACCAAATTCTCTGGTCTATTGCACTGTTGTAAAAGGCTTCTGTGATGAGGGTAAGACAGATTTAGCCATCAGGTTTCTGGAAAAGATGGATAGGCAGAAAGGTTGCTCACCTGACAAGGAGACGTTCAGTGTTATTGTTAATAGATTGTGTCAAGATGAGAAGTTTGTTGAGGCCAGTAAGATTATGGAAAAGATGTTGAGTAAATCTTTTTGGCCTGAGTCGATTACTTTTAGTGCTGTTATTAGAGGTCTTTGTTCAATAGACAGAATGTATGAGGCTGTAATGTGGTTGGAAGAGATGATCAGTCAGGGTAAGATACCTGAGTCTTGTATATGGAGAGTATTAGTAGCTTCAGCTAGTTGTAACACTGATGAGATTCGTGATTGCGTTGATTTGCTGGATTATCTGAGAACTTAAATCTTTGTCTTAGTACAACTTTATAAAGTATAGAATTCTTTCAAACGGTCCAATTAATGTAAAACCTGCTGTAGATTGCAATTATACAGGATTTCAGATGGATATTTACAAAGTCCGAGGAATCTCAGTCCAATGAACATCACAATAATGAGAAAGACCCTGGTCGTGAAGGTTTAGCTCTAAAATTGGTTCAAGATGACCAGAATGCTAGAAATTTGTGGCAGAAGGTACTATAAGTCAATGCTTCCATTTTCTGCACTATATAATCTGGTAGTCTCTTGAAAAACTTTGATTTCATCAAAACCTTGCGCTGTAGTGTAAATGTCAAGCATCAATAGATAGCTTCAATAATATGCTTCCAACCAATTGACCACATTGATTGTGAATGTAGCAATTTAAATAATTCTTCAATGCCTTAAACACAGGACAATTTCAACCTCACAGCACAACACGGAGCAAAAACCCTGCATTTGTGTCTAACTGTGAGCTTTCAAAGGTGTAACGTCAGCTGTTGTAGGAACTATTTCTCCCTCCCAGAATTCTGGGATTTTTTTATTTTTTATTTTTTTAAAATATATATATATCTTCTAACATGAAAAAGGAAGTAGAGCAAAAATCTGATAAGACATAGAGAGCTTAGCCTGTGAGTTAAATGAACAACGCTGACATTTGCAAGGATTTGATAAAAAAAATCAGCAAAAAGACTGATCATACTGAAGAAAATCTGAAGTCAAGTGCAAGGATGATGCCTGTTTGAAGTCAGAAAATTGTAAGAACGACAAGCAGCTTGAGAAGGATGATAAGGCCTACCTCTTTCTCCTTGTCTTTCCTGAATTAGTAAGTTAGTAGTCACGTTTCTTAAAATAGTAATAGTTTATGATTCGATTTTCTAATATGTTATTTCTGTGTTGCTGTATTTAAAGGATGATGAAAGCTTAAGCAATCAGAATCAACAACTTCTTGAGAACATTGATCTTTCAGCAGTAGGAGGTAATAAAGTAGTTTAGCTAGTTGTAAACTTGTAAGTTGTAACACAGAAGAGATTCGTGATTGTGTTGATTTGCTGGATTATCTAAGACCTTAAATCTTTGTCTTAGTACAAATGTATCAAGTATAGAATTCATTTAAACGGTCCAATTTAATGTAAAGCCTGCTGTAGATTGTAATTATACAGGATTTCAGATGGAAATTTACAAAGTCCAAGGAATCACTCATCATTGGCTTAGGTGAGTGTTTTATCAAAAGATGTGTGACATCAATTTTCAAATTACATTGAAAAGGAAATGAAACCTAAATTTCTAAATTTATGTAATGGTAAAAGGGAAATCAATTATCATTAGAAGAACCTCTTCCTCCTCCACTTTTCCCCAGGACATGGAGAAATGGAAGAAGATGATGGATGTACAAGCAGGATGCAACTACCCTAAAACCAAATTTGAACTCAAGGGTTGTTTCAACAATGTCAAGTCCACGAAGGAGATGCTGATCGAGTAGTTTGGGAAATCAATTAATCAATTATCACATCGAGGTATTGATTAATAAGCCAAGATCTGATAACTTGCCTACGAGTGTCAACATCCAGACTGCAACAGGACTTGGACGTGAAGCTGTTATCTATGCATTGGGGGAGGCGCAAGAGGATAAGCTACTGGAACAGCGTAATGAGGAGGAGGATGATGGTGGTGGTGATGATGAGGTTGACCAGGAGGAGGGAGCATAACAGGAGTCCCAACAGCGGATGCCATATGATGATGTGGCAGTGGTGCTGCAGTAACTGGGTGGCCTATCTGTGTCCCATACATCCCCCCTATACCTGCAGGTGCCATATTTACATTAGGCGGAGGCCTATGCTTATTTGCTGCTAATGCTGCTGTTCCAACTGCAGGAGCCGCAGAAGTGTTGTTTTGCTGCCCTGTAATGGGTGTTTGATTCGGCGACAACCCTCCTCCATTCACACTTGTAATATCATGAATGCTAGATCTTCTTCTATCCCTGTTCATTGAGTTGAGTCTTATAAAATATTTTTGGGCATGACTAGCTACTTGTGTTGGTGTCCTTGTTATCACAAAGTTCCTTGATATGCTTCGCCAATCGCCTTTGCCAAACTTGTCAAGTCCAAGTAAAAATAACCTGAAAACAGGGGATTTAATCATGCATTATATTTTGAAGTATGATTTAAAAATCAAATATTTATAAGCATTTAATTGTAAAAAAGATTTATAATTGAAAACCAATCTTTATCTCCATTATTGTAGGAAAACAGGCCGAGCTTTTCTTTCTCTCTCTTTACTACCATCACTAACTCACTAAGGCCACCATTGACACTGCTGGCCAAAAGAATGAAGCACAGAAAACGACTTACCAATACAATCACCTATTGCCCTTGTTTTACAACGGATGCCCAATTTATCACCTTGACATATTCTTAGCGTATTAGAAGGTATTATTGATACATAATAAAGAGATAAACGAGTTCCCCTACTTATACAATAAGCTCTTGTAACTGTCAAACAAAGCATTCAGATCTAAGCAACCAAGTTCCAAACTATACCAATTTGTCACCCAACATACAAGAAAACCATAATTTGAGTTCAAATCAATCGCATTTTAAGAAGAACAAACACAATAAAACCCAAGAAATCACAATAATGAGGCAAACAAAAAAAAATCTTGAGTATAAAGACTTATACAAGGTTTAAATTATGTAGTTAAGGGTCACTTTTAGAATAAAAGGTCACTCGTGGGTAGTTTTTGATTAAAAATCCTTAAAAAGAAAGCGAAAAAAATGAAAACAAAGGGTCAAACACATAGTTATTAATAGTGCATTAATTAATACATACCTATGCTCTTCTTCAGTCCAAGGGATGCCCTTTTTTCGTTCTTGTTCCAACTTAGAGCTAGCTTTTGTGGTATTATTTCCCATCGAGGAAGGCCCGAAAGGCGAGTACCCGTTACCTTGATTCGAGTTTCCTCTTTGGTCCTTGTTAAAAGAAGGGTGATGATCATCCTTAGTATTAGAAGTTGATAATGTAGTAGTAGTAGTATCCTCACTTCCATAACTAGGAAGTGGTACTTTTCCTGCCTCAATAGCACCTACATCCTCTACTAGAAACTCATAGTGTTGCTTAATTTCTTCAATAGTTTTCGTAGGAACCATTGACGCGACCTTATCCCACTCCTCATTCGATTCGTCGATAGAATGTGTTGCAATCGCGTTCTCAAACGCCTTCTCCTCCTCCCTAGTCCATGACACTAAATTCGGCATTGTCTATAAACTAACTATTATGATTTTTCGAGTATTTTATTTTTGTTGTAATGGGTCTAGTTAAGACTAGTGCAATAATGGAAGAGGGAGTGTATCATTGAGATAAAGAAAACAATAAGATTTTCATAAGGAAAAAAACAGGATAAGAAAGTGAGGTGAGCATCAAACCAACAATAAGATGGGGGGACCTAAAATAATAAGGGAGGGTTGAAAAGCATATGGTACGAATTTTGTAAGGTTGTTACCAATTTACAAATGTGTACAAAAAGTGATGTACACCCTTTGGGTTTTGTGATTGGTTGCCAAGTTTTTCAGTCATGAAATTATGGGAATTGGTGGGGACACTTTCTCAACTCAGTTGGAGAATCTATGGGACAGTCATTGTGTCATCACCATTCAATTTTTTTGGAGGAGCCGCATCGGTTAGTGTCATAGTCATGGCCATGGTCATAGTCATTTTTTTCATTACGCTCACTGGTGTTGGAGGTGTTAATTCGGGTTATCGGTTGGGTTTGAGTTGGATCAATGAAGTCGAGTCATGACGGATATGTGTTGTGCTAATTGCTAAGTTATTATAGCCATGTTCAAATACTACATCGGATTGGATCGGATAAGTTTTCATGCTTTTACTCCGTTGTAGTGTTACTTTTAGGATTATGTTAAAGTAACAATTAATTTGATATTAAAAGTGTTGATAGTAGTAATCCTACGTAAATACTTTTGTTTTTTACTCTATTTTAATCGCAACGTGGAAGGATGCACAATTTTTAAGGAGAAAAAGATGTTAAAGATAGAAACGGAAATGGTAAATTAATTAACGATACAATGATTTACAGCTTGTTAAAGAATGAATAAGTAGTATTTAGAATTGAGTTAGTTTGAGTTTAAGATCGTTCAATCGTGGGTGGATTCGAAATCAAATTGGGTCATTCTCAGGTTAATTCATGTTATAATCAAAACCGTATAAGGTTAGGTATATTTTGGAATTAATTTTTACTTGTTAGGATCGTCATGTTTGATTTGGTTAACTAAAGGGTTGTTTATCTTTTTTAGAGTTTAAGTTTTATTCAAATAATCCAACAAAAAGTTGTCTCATGTGTTTTGTCAAGTTGGTTTGAAATTTTGATTTAATTAGGTTAGCTTTGGCTTAGTTTCCATTTTGTTCATTTAGTTTTTTGTTGCAACATTTTCGTTCATTTGAAACTCAATTATCAATAATTAGTTAGGACTATATATTAATGAAACATTTGTATGATTACATAACATTTACTCATGTAATTTCAATACTTATTTAAGTTAATAACAAGTCGGGTTGAATTCAAGTCAAGTTAATAATGAGTTAAATTGAATTGAATTGAGTAAATAACATATCGTAAATCAGACGGTAATCTCCTATAATCATCTATGAGTATATGCTTGTGTACATTATATATGCTGTTTTCTTAGGATATTATCCATTTTAAGATGTTTCAAATGCTTTTGCGATTTTTTTTTATTTTTTTATTTTTTTATTTTTCTGTAACGAACTATTACCTTATTTTAAATTTGCTTAATTAAAACAAAAGATTCATATTGGCTCTTATCCTCATTTCTTATCCACTTTGCTCAATCTTGTCAAATTAAAAGTCAACTGTAGAAAACATGATAAAAATGAGGGATCTCTACATGAAAGTATTACCACTTAAATGAACTAAGAATACACATGACCAAATGAATACATGCAGGTCATCTTAAATTAGAAAAAAAGGACTTGTGATCTGTTGTGCGACAGCGGAAGCAA